ATTTCACCTTGCAGCTTTCTCCAACGGCAGGACGTGCCGTGGTAAAAGGGTATTGAGCCCTGTTCCTCAGACCTCCTTAAAGTTGCTCTTATCAGAAAGGTGCGTAGGTCGCCATGGATAGATGGCTTATTCTCGGCCAGCTAGGTGGATATTTGTTCCTGCAAAACTCTTTTTGCAGACAAGAGTGAAACAGGCAATAAAATAAATAATGTGCGATAAAATCGCTTCTAACCTAATGTTTCTTTTGAGAAACAAACAAAAATCTCTGCGACGATCGAACATGCGACTTACTGACTACGAAAACAGAGATGATCCACTGCGCTGCACTGTTCTTCCCAACTCCAGGTTGTGAGAGATGGTTGGCCGTAAGAGAGCTATCAATTGATAGAATCGATATGCGTTATAATGTACACAACAAGGTCCTTCAGGGTTCTGAACCAGCACCGTATACGGAACATTTCGCTGCTCATTTGGATGCGACACCCTGGACCGCGGGTTTCAGCGGTCCCAATGGGGAACCAAAATAGGTTCCCCATTGGGATTGCTGAAACCCGCGGGACCAGGGTGTCGCATCCAAATGAGCCCGCTGTCACGAAGCTTGTCACGAAACTGAACCAGTTGTTCCTTGAGTCGACAAGTCCAACAGTGCGATTTTTCCGTGAGGATGAGGTACCTAGGGTTATCTGGGTATGTACGGTGGTCCTTCAAAATGTTTGCTAGCTCATTGATCTGGATCGGCTATCACAAAGAGGATCAGGCTCGATCTATAGCGACCATTAGAAAGAAGTGGGAACGATGACTGGGGCGGGCGGTCACTGCCAAGGTGATTGGTGGAAGGGTTTCAAGAGGGCGTTTGGCCACACCTCGCTCAGCCCTTCTACCAATGACGCTGGCAGTGACCGCCCACCCCTAGCTATCGTGCCCTTCAATCCTGCAGAAATCCTATTGTGTAGAAGTATATGCAAGCATTGATGAAGCAGTGAGTGTTCAAAAAGTTTCTAGCCAAGTTGCTTGAAAAGCAAAAAAACACCCTTTCTAGGAGTCGAACCCGCGACCCATTGAGGAGTGGGCAGCTTCCATCTGCCGCTAAAACAAAACAAGAACGACATAATACCAGTTGCCCGCAAGTGGAATATGCCTGAAACGTTCTGCGGGCATCGCTCATTGAGGCGACTACGCCCATACAAATATTCGGATATGAAGCGGCATCTTTTCTTGTTCTACCACGTGATTGTTAGCTGCTCATCCTACTAAAATCTCATCTACTAGAAATTCCAAAATTGGTGATGGTAAATAGCGCAAAACGATACGATTTCTAGAAATTTCTCATTGAAGATACTCATGGCGGTGATGGATACTTCCGCAGAATGTACCCTGCATTATTGTGGTCGAAATAAAGCCCACCGATATCTCCTCCAATATGAGAGTGCACATACAAGTGTCGGTTGAAGAATTTCATTGAAGCGACAGAATGGAGAGATGAAAGAAACTTGTTTCCATACGTCCAATGCCGAAATGGTCTCTTGAGCCCCTCGTTTATTAATTTCCTGCGATAAGGGCGATCAATGCTCTCGTTGTATCCGTGTATTGTGAACACTTGACCGCTGCAACTGCCGAAAGAAAGAAGGGGAAATGGACAAGACAATCGTAATCCGCCGCACCGCCGTGCGCGGCTCATCTGGAACATTTCGACGTGCATCAGTTTGTCGACTGGACTGAGGGGGGGACTCAAGTGAGTTCAAGCGGGCAAGTCTCCACATTCATTTTTCACTCCTTTAACATTCAGGCAGAGGGCAAGACAATTGTCTCCTGCGCAGCGTCGCTCGCCACGCCCACCGGCGCGACATTTCACGATTGCCTTGTCACACACTCCCAAAGAAGTCTTATCCTGAACGTTGCGCTCCACCGCTAATCGCTGGACCACTGCAACTGCATGTCATTTGCAGTTCCAAAGATTAGCGCGTGGAGCGCGTGTCATCACAGCTTCACAACTTTCGAAACGCGCGACTGAATCTCTCACCTCTCGAAGTATGAACGCCAGTTTCTATGTTTACAGCCAAGAACAAAATGTATGAAACGTTTTATTTCTCTTCACTTTGATATAGCAAAGCTACTTTTTGCAGATTGACGGCTACAGATGGCATACGTTCATGGATCACAACGTATCCCGAACTTTGGATAGCGCGAATCTACCGGGTTATGCAAACTTCTTACGAAATAAACGACGAAAATTGATTATAAACACCCGCAGTCGATGAATGATCGAAATTGACATTCGAATAACTCAAAATCGTAGCAGACAAGCATGCACTCACACACTTATACATAGAGATATAGTGGAAAAAGGGACAAGGATACAATACGCTAGGCTAGCAAATGAAAACTTTTAAACCTGAACATAGAACAAACTGATAACGATTGATAAAATAATTCCTATGAGCTAAAACTGAGGTGCCGCCTGTATATCACGGAAGGCCGGCGACGAAAGATCGGATAATTTCATGCAATGATGACGATGAATAAAGATGAAGATGAAAATCAATGAATACGGAAGGGCTACTTTCCCATGAACGATGAAAATGAGGCACTGTGTCACTCGCGCGAACAGGGTGGAGCGGGGGAGGGGGAGGTGGGGTGGGGGCGATGACAATCGTATACGAACGAATAAGCAAAATTGCTAAACAAAAAAAAACTAGAAATAAACGAACAACGACGAAGTAGAACAAACCAATGTAAGCAAACTGTTCAACGCCACGCGACAGTAGATCGGATTGGGATGGGAAAGGACAATGGAAGATGCAAAGAAGGTGGTGACTGGTGGGATGACGGCTCAGTACGGACAGTGCTTGATCCGTTTCTTTGGTGGGGCGGCCAAAACCACTGGTGGTGTCTGCTGGGTGGCGAGCGCCTTGAACACCTCGGCCAATAGCGTCGGGTGCTCCTTTACCAGATCTTTCCAACCTTCCGAATTCATCACCTGAAAACGAAGAAATTTAAAGAGCTAGTGAGTTAAGGTACTTAGTGAATCACCCTGAATGCTCATGCGATGGTACTTGTAAATAAGCGGAAAACAAGTTTACCCTCTTTGAGCATCGTTCTGACTTCGCGGTGACGCGGCGCCGACGCGCTAAGCACCCAGTAGCGCTCAATTCTGCAGACGGAAACGCATCCATAAACCGATATCGATCGCCATCGGCCGCCACTGCTTTGAGAGAGCATGGATAGGATGGTACGCGTCGCCCAGTCACATAGTCTGGTATCTTCCTATTCTTCTATACTCTCCAAAAACCTTAGCGGTCGGCGCCTATACCAAATTGCCGCACGTGGACGCTCATTTTAGCGATTTCTGAACGCTGCCATTCGCAGAGTGGCAATTTCGAAGATACATCCCGCACTTTTGAAGATACAGATCCGGCTACGAACGCTACTGACCAAATGTGGGCAGAGTTTTCCAATATCCATTGCGCCCTCACTAATCTGCTCGCGGCTCCCTCCGTTCTTATCCACACATAATGAGGATCTCACCAATGGGGAAAGCACAATGCTAACGAGTATCCGCCCATTCAGTATCGTCGAATGTTTAGCAAAGTGACTGTATCAGGCGCCAATTCCGCTCGCCTCGCGACCGCACGCGGACTACCTGAAGGCCGCCGCAAAACCATCATGCACGTTCATTTATCGAACCTAAGGGCGGCGACAACAAAGAACATTTGCGCGAGTTTATTAACAACTCAAAACGACACACGAGTCTGGAAAGACGCCGTTTGGTATTAGCTGGGCAGATGGTGGGGGGGGGGGGGGTAGGAACCGACGCCAGCTGGTGAGCCCCCTTTTTCTTGCCCGCCTGTTCACCGCTATAAGAGGAAGGATTTCGTGGCGGAGGCAGACGCTCGTTGTTCAGGCTCATCTACTTGGCGAATCCTGAAGCTATCGCCATATTTCGGAAAAGGCGTCGGCCCGCGATCTATGTTGCGTCGACGCTAACGCCAACTAACTACATTTCCTTAACTGGTGACGTCTCGACTAGTGAAATACCCCCTTCCCCCGTCCATGCGCGGGTCGGCAACCAGTCAGGTTAGTAGTCGCGAAAGCCGCGTACGGCGACACCTCTGGCTCGCTGCGATTGCGAGCGTACACGATCTTGTTCGCGTGCTGCGCTGAAGGCGGCGGATGGGTTCTGGCGCAGGCACCAGACCTTGTTCCTTCACCAGCTGTAGCAAGGCAAACAACTTACAGCATGAGAGACACGGGAGTTTGGGCGCGCGGGTTGGCCGAAGAGACAGTCGTCACTCGACACGCCCCCTTTAGAGACCCAGCGAACCGTAACTTAGGATAGCCAAGCCGAACCAGTCATCGAGTTTGCCAGTATCCTTTTTGCAAAAAACCGGATTTCATACATTCTGAAATATCTCACCTCTGTAGCATTTACATTGATATAGTTGATGGCGTGTGTTCGAAGTTGTTCGGCCGAGTAAAGGTCAGCCAGTACCAATGTCACACAGGCATTTTCGGCCGTTAACGCTGCACATAACGCCTGCTCACACATCACCTATAAACAATGAATGAATGGGACTTTGTGAACAGATGAACATCTGCAATAAATTATCTGAATAGTCGCAGCTGCACAATTACTTTCAAGCGATCCAAATGATATTTGTCAGCGGCTGCAATGAGATGTTGAGCCATTTGATCGACACTCGGCGAACTTCCCGTGTACATAAAGCATAGCATCTCTCGAAGTACCTAAAGCAGGATGTAAATAGAAAAAACCTTCTGCAGAAGTCTCTTTGAGGTACTTCAAAGTACTGCAGCATAATTCCTATCTTTTCCTATACCAAGCACCCTTGCAATGCTATAGCGCTCCGGACAAAATTTCTAGGCAAGCAAGCTTACTTGCAAAAAAAAGCCATCGCTAGCAATTTTTTAGTCTGGTGGACCCGTGCGACCCTTTTCGAGATTAGGACTCTGCAACATTGGGCTCGCGCGCGCAAAGACCCAGGCGATATCCAACCGGGGCACAGCATCACGCAGTGGGAAATTTCTCGATAAATACGACTCCCATCAAAGTTTCTCCTCAGTACGACCCCCTTTACGAACGTGTTTTCCTAAATTTTACAGTCGAGCGAGGGGGAGGGGGACGCAGCGTATGTGAGGCGCGGAAACAAACGTTTCCGCGATCCCCATACCCTTAACAGGAATACTTCTTAGTGAGATTCTACCAATGAGGAGCGCTTAAAAAGGAAGAAATCAGCTATCAAAGAGTTTCGAGGACAATTACGACCTTCCCCTTCCCAGCGACCGAATACCCTAATGAAGCCCCCTCCGCTGCTTTTTTCACATTGTTTTTTTTTCACAACAGGTTCTGTGCCCTACATCCAGTCCATGTTATTTCACTGGGCTGACCACACGTCCGAAGTTCGTCCGACGTTTGATCTTTTGAACATTGGCTACGATGAACGCTAGTCAGTTATGATCCTGTCGGCTGTTTCGTCTCCTGCTGGCAACTGCAGTCCCAGTGTTCGCCTCACCTCAAAAGTTTAGTCCCCCCCCCTTCATCAAAAGTTCAGCCATATGCACTTTAAAGTGTCAACTAAGGCCAACCAAGAAATCTTCAAAGTTCCCACCCCACTCTACATCGAATGCACGCTCCCACACAGATTTCGACCAGCCTTTGCACATCTTCCCATCTCCTCCCATCGAACACGTCGATTTCGCACAACAATTAACATCTTTTCAGGTTTCTAACGAGGTTCTCTGAACTCCGTGAACTCCGACTTCAGCCGAGGAGAACCAGTGATGAGCCAATCATTTACGTTCCGATTGTCCCTTTCATTCGGAACCCATTCGAACCAACTCCCTTGGTCAATTTTTTTTTTCCCCGAATTTCAATAAGACAGCCAACGCGTTGCGTCTCCTCGGCAAAAACAGCACTATTCAGTTTCATGCCTCTCACACCGTTCTTTTCCATACCATTAATTGGTTGGACGGGCCGTTGAAAGTGTCGTTTTCCACAGAACATTCTAGAGGCCAGAGAGTTCACCGACAACAAACACATCCGAGCCTACACGCCTCATTTCTACCAACGGACGCTACATCGGGACGAGTGGACTCACACTGTAGGCACGCCAAGCATGCTGATAGAATTCCATCGGGAGATGCGGGGCGTAATTTCGGTCGCTGGCGTTCGTGTTTGCTTTCAGAAAACTTCTACGAGCCGCCAGAAAAGTTTCCCTGGCTTCCATGTTTGCTATAAACCTCCGACGTTCTGCCATTGGCGAAAAATTTGCTGCAATCCCTCCCCCACCCGATTCCCTTTGCTACGACTCCCCTCCCACCCGGCTCGCCAATTCCCAGCATCTCCCTACTACTTTTCTCTAAATCCTTTCCCGCAGAGAACTGCCCTCCCCGGGTTTGGGAGCGGGTGGGGTTTCATATCGCACTTGAAACAGAAGAAAACTCAAAACCGAGAAAAGTCAGCGACCGAAAACATTTCTCTCTGTCCAAACAGCACCCCCCCCCCTCCCTCCCTTCACTAACCAAATATGCCCGCTCGCTGGGGATACACAACGTAACGTGCCCTGGTTGCGGAGGGCGCGGCAGAAGTATCATAAAAATACTACTTTTGATAGTTGAGTGCTGACGACCTCCACCACGCGCCCCCCCCCCCACCCCCCGACAACATTTTGCTGCACGAAAACCAGAGAAATTCTTGAAAGAAGTGATAGGGGAATGGTAGGGAAATAGGGAAAGGGTTCGTCCCTATGAAGGAAAACAAGGAGGATGGGGGGGGGGGTAATCACAGTGCCATTTCACCTCATCATCTATGCGTCCTGCTCCCAGCACCCTCACAACGCTCATACATCGTAATTGGCCGAGAACGCGTATCAGATCAATGTTAGAGAGGCAGAGTAAAAACTCTAAATGTCTGCCCGGCAAAGATCTCCCTTTATTTTCAACTGAGTGAACGAGTGTTGCGCGCTAATCATTGAATCATCCCGCTTGAAGACCGTACATTACAGTTCCGGCACGTTTGACACCACAATCTCAATTGTGAGCGGTAGACATTGCTGAAGGACACCATTGCGCGGACTAACTCGTCGCATTACCGTAACGTGCGCAACGATCCACCGCAACTAAAACTGGTGGCTGCGCAGATAAGCGTGACAACGCAGTGGAAAAGGTGAACAAAGAATAAAGCCGTCGACGTTGATCAATCCTTTTTGGGACCACGCATCACAATTAGTGATTTGGAACCAAAATATTCGATTTGCCCTGGACAGTAAGTTGCGGCCAGTTCACCAGCTACAGCGTCATGGAAGGCCGCTGCTGGACCGCGAACAGGAACGCAATACCGAGGTTTGACCGTGACCGACCCCGTGACCGCTCGCCATTACAAGCTTAATATCGATTCAATAACCATTGCGGTCCACTGGAGACTAGCCCAAGGGTAGGATAAGCTGTGAGTTATATGGCACAGCAGTTTGGCTAGGTGGGGGCACTGAATCGAATTCGGCTCCCTCCTACAGGAAAACGAAAGCAATGAGAAATAATTGGGACTTCTGGCTCCCTCGAAACTACTTCATACCAGCCAACGACCTGATGGCACCACTAAATCGCTATTTTTTGTGAGCTTACAAAGTACAACTCGATCACAATTACTTCCGTCAAGGGCAACATTCAAAATGATCCTACGAAAAGAACAGCTCGTCCTTCAAACCAGTCTGCCCCATAAACCCTCACGATAGTGACAAGTCAAGTCGGCATTGAATTTAATTTTGCACTCACATCGGGTTCGACATCGTCGATCGCGACCTCATTCCGCTCCGATTCCGTCATATTGTGCTCGAACATTGCATGGAATACACGCGATCGTGCCGCTAGGATCGCCTTGTGCACCTAAAATCGTCGGAAATCTGACCTTCATCCAGTAATGTTACCGTACTTTCGAACTCTGCGTAAATGCGCAACTCCATATCCCGCAGAATGGGGGGAGGGGGTGATTGGCGTGATTACGTTTAAGAACGCATGGTTGACTGCGCTTTTGCAGATATTTCTGTGCGGACAAGCTGATGGTGCGCTTCGTCCGGTGTGACAAGGGTGACAATTATCGCAAATGGAAATATCTCCAAGAAAGACGGATTCTAACGCCTGTCGAAACATAGTGAAGCGTCGACGCTTTCCCATATCTCTGTCAGACTAAATGGGCTGCGCAAACACAGGACCATAAGTACGGAAAAAGAGGGGGATACAAGTTCCCCCGAAAATTGGCGCTGTGAAAATTGAATGGTCTTGAAGGTCTTGGAACACACAATCAAGCACATCGTAAGATGGCAACCCAGACACAGACGCTGATTCGCTCCACCACCTATCTGTAACCAGGTGCTGCTAGAGGCGAAGTACTATATGCAAGCAAGACGATCGGCACTTAACTGTACGCAGTTGAATCCAAACGTTCGGGTGTGCCTACGAGGTGCGTCCACGGCTTTACAATTGATTCACCGCGCGGAATTTTGGGGGTAGCGTGTCCGGCTGCCTCCCAAAACTTAATGATCTCCTTTCCGCTAGCACTGGCATAAGCAGCAAAGTCATGTTTTGCTTTGATTTACCACAGCGTTCATCAATTTGAAGCACACTTTTACTAGATCGTTGGTAGTCCCTTCGTCATGAGTGCGTTGTTGCCCCATTGCAAAGACAGCAAAGGCGCAACCACCGAACGGCAACGAGAAAGGCACACTAGTTAACTGGTCTCGCTCATACGACTGATCATGGTTTGCGCCAACGAAGAGGAGTGTGGGTATTGATTTTACCGCGTAAAATCGTACCCTCCCACTGCAAGAGCGCATGAATTGGTACAACGAAGACTGAAAGCGTTCAAGGCAATAAAGAACTTACATGGAACGTTTGAGGTCCATTTGATTTACAGGTCGCTACTAATGTACAATCACTGAACTGTTTACTCTCGAAAAGTGCCGAAAGATCTTCTGACAATCGGCAAGGGGGGACCTAAACAAATGAAATCACCACTTTTCATCAAAACCTAGCTCTGAAAGAAGCTATGGGCGTAGTGGGCCTTGAAGAGGCAACCAGTCTTAGACAATTTGCGTCCCGGTGATATCGAAAGGGCAAAGGAGCAATAGACGGGGTCCAGCGACTCCAAACTTTTGAAACGACAAGGAGTCGCACACGATCAAGCCATTTCTCGTAAAACTGCACGTTACAAGCAGATTGATGCAAAAATACAGACTAGCACTCTCTGAGGCAAGCCCGCGCCAAAATTGAGTTTTAAAACCAAAGTAGTTTAAAATTGCAAAGGCGCACCTTGAAATTGTTTGAGCCAAGTTGTCCAGTGACGTTTGACTGTCTCCAGCAACACGGAAACCTGGAAATGACTGATTTGAACGCACTGACCAGTACTCAACAGCGACACAAGACCGTACTTTTTCTCTTCAGGAGCCACCTGTCGCTGATGTTCACGACGAGGCGTGAAATTATACCACTTATGCTTGTTTCGTTTCTTAGCAGGAGGCCGTGGCAGGCATAACTGGGTGTTGATTGGATAGTAACTGTTGCCATTTCGATAAAATCGTGGTGGTGCCGGGGCGATGGCAGTGGCAGGCAGCTGTTGCTGGTGCAGTGGAGACAAGTACAGCCGGTAGATGATTGATGCTGACAAATGCGACAGGCTAACGGCCATGGTGGCACATGATACCAACAATGTTGAAAGGCCGGTA